TCCCTGTTAAAATGGGTTAATTTAAATGATAAAATTTTAGCTCCTCATTTGGCTCTCACAAGATATATAAAGGTTTTATGTTTTATAATTTCATCCAATGCCCTAAGATTAATATGAAGATAAAATTATTCACATTTCAAATTATGGAATGATTTCTCATATACCCTTTCCCGCCATTCATAAAGTTTAAGGCAGAAATGCTTATATAGAATTAAACTTCTGTAAAAAAAAATTTACTCATCCATTCATTTGGCTCTGCATGATGATTATTTACTAATTTTAAAAGTCTTATTGTATGGAAGTCTCAGTTATATTACTGTCTTCAGGATTCTTGGGGATGGAGACATGGTTTAGTGGTTAAGAGCATAAGCTGTTCCTCCAAAGGACCACAGCTTCATTCCTGCACCAACAGGGAAGCTCACAACTCTCTGTAGCTCCAGTTCCAGGGAGTCTGATACTCTATTTTGGCTTCCACCAACACCAGCCATGTCAGTGGTATGAAGAAATATATGCAAGCAAAACATGCATAAACATACAAACAAAAATAAAAAATAAACATAAAATAAAGAAAATGAAACTAGGAACCCCCCAATCAGCTGGTTCTTTTCTGATATTGGTTCCTAGTGCACATTTGGTATTTATTATGCATTTTGGTGTATTTCCTATTTATATCTATGAAGCATACTAGTCACCCACTCTTACTTTATGATGATTACTGTAAGTCAAACAGTATTTTCATATCTCCTCTTTCCAATATTTTTCCAACATTTTACATGTTTTCTTAGTTATTAAATTCTGCAAAACAAAACAAACTCTGCCCACATACCCACAAGACTTGAGCCACATAGAGTTTTTGTCAGAATAGAAACACACAGAACTCAGTGACAGTATAATTCACAGAGTGTCACACAATCAAGTTCTGATATTTGACCTTATGAAGAGAAGATTTATGTGAAAAGCAAGATAAAGGTCAATGTCAGTTTGATGTGGTTAGAGTTCATAGACGGGAAGGCGGAACCATTTTGGCATCTAAATTTTGTTTTGTTTTGTTTTGTTTGTTTCTTCATTTTTCCTTTTTTTCCTTTATGTTACTGTTTGAGACATTTTCAGTTTCATTGTGTAGTACAAGCTGATCTGAAAATTGCTAGATAGACCAGGCTGACTTTGAACTCACAGAGATCCACATGCCTCTATCTCCCAAGTACTTACAATATTTGTGTGCTACAATTCCTGACCAAGCAGCATAAATTTTAACACAGCAAAGAAAATAGATATGGTTCTCTTTAAAGAAAAATCCTGCAACATTGGGGGTTTTGATATTATGGGATTAAAACTTAAAGGTGATGAATCATGTACACACAAGTGTATGACATAAGTGAAGTCACGTGTGCTGTTGACATGGTCACAGACATTTAAAGGTCTCCTAACGAGAGTGCCAAAACCTTCCTAGATCTGAGACAAGTGAACAGAAAAGGCCTTTTCACTTCTGAGTGTGAATCTTGACGGTGATGTGCAGAAATTTTCTACCATTGCTTTCTCTCCCCGATGTTTACAGCCTGAAGACAGCTCCTCCGAAGACCCTGCTCCTATGGAGATTAGCCAAACCTGCCCCCTTGCTCAGCTGAATAGCCCTAAACGCCAGTTCTTTGTTCAGCTTTCTATAGCATTTGCCACCCTGCTTTTCAGCTGTAGGTAATAAATACACTGAGATTTTTTTGGGTGCCACAGATTCTCTGCCAGAGAGCCCAGTCTACACCATTTTAGTTTCTCTATCTGTGTTAGTCTTTTTTTTTTTTTTTTCATTCTCTTGTGGACCCAGTCAGATGAATCCCTGGAAACATGAAGGAAGTAGAACATAAGACACAAAAAGAAGTCCTAAGAAGATGAAAAAGAGACCCTCGTTCCTCAAAAGACCATGTCCTTCTTCTCATGAACATCCATACAGATTCCTGCCAGGAATCTATCAAAACAATATACATATACATCCATGTGTGTCTGCGTGCCTTTGTGTGTGTGTGTGTGTGTGTGTGTGTGTGTGTGTGTGTGTGTGTGTGAACAGAAAATGAAACTCGTTGTTTTCTATGTGATAATATTGGTTAGGAGAATCATGTGTTATTTCATTTGGGTCTCAGCAACATTCATCAGCTTATTCTTGCTGATGAAGAACAGAGGCACAGACACCATAAATTCAATAAATTGAATCTACATCATCAGAAAGCAATCTAGACAATAAATGTACATTGCTGCTTCTGGGATTTAGGACACACCATCTCACACTGCCCAAGGTGGCATGACACACTGGTTCTAAGTTTATACTGAGGAACCTGTAATTCTTCTTCTTCAGTAATCTTGTTCTAAGACTTCAAGTAAAGGACCTGGCCAATGTGTGAAGCCCAGATCTGATTTAAGTCTAAAATGATGTAAGTCTAAATTGATGTAACTCTAAATTGATTTAAGTCTAAATTGATTGACACACTGAGATCATTTAAGCGATTTGGCTAATGAATCCCTACTGAGTGATCTCAGTGGAGAGTGTATGATCACTTTACACAGACACAAACCTGCATTCAAACCCAGAAGCAAGTCTTCCCCAGGGGGGCCGATGACCTCCACAGAATAAAACTGATACTCAAGCAGAACTGAATTAATCACTTCTAATGGTGCCAGGGACTAACTAAAGAAAGGCTCCTTTGCCCATTCCCTATGGTGGCATACTTTGCTCAGTCTTGATTCGGGGAGGAGGGGCAGTGCTTGATCCTGTCTCAAATTGGTATGCCAGACCTTGTTGACTACCTAAGGAAGACTTTACTCCATCTGAGGAATGAATGGGGGATGGGAAGCAGGGAGATGGGAGCAGGAGAAGGGGAAGGAGGAGAACTAGGGTTGGTATGTAAAATGAAAAGTAAAATATTTAATAAAAAGAGAGATAGAAGATTATCTATGGAAGAAAGAGAAAGGAAATTCTAACCACCATGTTGCTGTGATCATCGATTTATTTTGGAATCTGGAACTGCAGAACTGTTCGTACGATCATGCTCCTTCACAGTTACTCATCCTTTGAGCTTTTGTGAATTTCAGGTCATATACATTTGTTCTTCAACATGAAATTAACACTTCAGCTCCTGTAAGGTAATAATTCCATTCAAATAGGAATTAAAACAGCGAGGGGAAAATACCTAATTGGTTTTGTAACGTCAAAGGTTACAGTTAAATAAAAACATTAGTATAGCTTGATTTGGTGACTCATGCACACAGGAGGCAGAGGAGGCCAGATCTTAGTGAGTTCAAAGCCAGTCTGGTCTACACAGTGAGTTTCAGGACAGCCAGGTCTATGCAGAGACCTGGCTTTGTGGGAGCCTAGGAAGTTTGGATGCTCACCTTACTAGACCTGGATGGAGGTGGGTGGTCCTTGGACTTCCCACAGGGCAGGGAACCCTGATTGCTCTTTGGGATGACGAGGGAGGGGGAGTTGGTTGGGGGAGGGGGAGGGAAATGGGAGGCGGTGGCGGGGAAGAGTCAGAAATCTTTAATAAATAAATAAATAATTTAAAAAAATGAGGAAACAGAAATGCAAAAAAAAATAAATAAAATAAACAAATAATAGTAAAAAAAGAACAACCAAAAATGGTACCTGTATTTCAAAGCTAAAAGGATTAAGCTTCTCCAAAAATGTCTTTATTATGAATAACTATGTATAATAAGCAATACAATGCCTAATGACTTTCTTTAGAATCAGCATACATATCATCCTAAGTCAGGATATTAGTATTAATCTTCCATGCCATGATTATGTTTAATAAAAGAAAGTTCTAGCACAGTTGGTCTGAACTAGTTACCTGCCTCTGAAGAACAAATTACAAGCATGATTCAAACTAGCAGCATGTGGTTGAAAAGAAAATGCACTTTGGTTTTTTTTTTTTTTTCTTTCTGGATAATGAGCTCCAAGACAGAAGACAAAGTTCCTTTGTTTATGTGACTGTACTTAAAGGTACCCTGGGATCTGCAGAACAGGCCCAGCACTGGTCTTTCATCTGCTGCAAATTGTCCTTTGAAATGTCACCTTGCTCTGCAGAGATTCATAGGAAGTCGGAGACTTGTACAGGATTTTCAACGCAGAGTGGCAAAGGGGTGATTTGAATATGCTTTTGTGAGTACAAAGTTATTGGGAAACGCCAGCAGACCATGATTTCCAGCTCTCTGCAACAGCACTGCTTGGGAAATGGAAGTTTTACACAGATACTTGCAGCTTCCTTGCTGAGACTTTAAATGTATAAATGAATCAAAATAACTCCTTTTTTGACCCTTGAGCATACTTTAAATATATTCTTCTTTATCTCTTTCAGGAGGAAATGGTACAAAATTCAATGAGCTCTTATGGTATTTATTCATTTGTGACCAATATTTCCCCAAACACCTGAAACTTTCATTTAGCCTTATAATGCCATTTCGTTACCTGCAATAGGGACTCTTTAACCTTTCTATTGAAGTATGGATTAGAAGACAGCTACTGTTTAACCATTTATAGTGGTTGCTGAAACTCAGTTCTATGTCCCAATTGTATTAAATTAGAATGTCTGTATATGCTGCTCCAACCACGGAAAAAATTCAATAAAATAACACAATAAAAATTTTGGCAAATTCTTTCCTTGTCTTTTCATCACCCCTTTCTCTTTTTAGATGCACTCCTGTACACACACCACACACACACACACACACACACACACACACACACACACACACGCATTCCCATTTGCCCCAAATGCTGGTTAAAAATTTACAGAAATCAATTCTTTTGTCATAGCTTTCAAGCATTTGAACACTTTAGATATATATTTTTTACTTTGAGATACACTTCATTATGATAGTACTTTTAACTGTATTTCTAAGAGTCAAAATTGAATGGAAGCAATTGATAGATCAGTAATATGCTACATAATTTTGTACCTTCGTAATTGACATGACTCTGAGAAATGATAGCATCAGGAAAAAGGCAAACTTACCACTTCTTCATGCCTGCATTTCCTCACATTAATTCCATTTATCTGCAATGGAAGGAAATTCCCAGTTTCACATAGTGTATTACAGACTGGCTTTTGTTTGCATCCAGGAAGACAGTAATGAGATGTATACCTGCAGAATTGCATCTCCGATGAAAAGCAGTCCCGAAAGCTCCGCTGTGAAGAAGAACAATTGAATACACCTTGGCATTTGTCAGACAAATAAAGTGTTTTGTCTTATTTAAGGATAAAACTGTAGACTAATTATATGTGTTTTAAACTAATTAGGATCATTTTATAGGATCCCCAAAGAACGTAAAATAATAATATGATTTATCTCTTTTTGGTTGCTGAAATAGGCAGACATTTCCTTTTGGTTCTATCATTTTATGACCTTATAGCTCTTAAAACATGGTCAGTACCCTCCCAACTTTGTGATTTTTTTTTCTTTGTCAGCAAAACATGGTCGGTCCATGTAATCTTGTCTTGCTTCAGCAATCTTGTCCAAATAATCTTGTCTGTGTGGCTTTCCACAGTAGCATGGTTGACTCCTCATGTTGTACACTCTGGTTGTGTACTCTATATTTGATCTTGAAAGGTCAGAGTAATGATACGAATTTGATCAAAGCTTGTTATTAATAGTTCTTAAAAGCCAACATATATAGATATAATATGTACATATTATGTATGTATGTATATATGCATATTCATTAAAAATTGATACCTTTGCTTAGTGGGTTACCAACTTTTTTATGCCTTTATACTGTGATATCTCTGTGCAAATATCTAAGGCTTTCAATCTGTCAGTTTCATGCTTTGGGGGAAATATTTTGCTGTTTTCCTGATTAAGTGTCAATAAACCCTTGATTTGTATATTCATGATGGGTTTTAGATGTAGCCTCAAAGAAAGTGAGTAAAACTGAGAAAAACAATTGCATCTGTATTTGTCCATAAAATGTGACTTAATTTTTGTGTCTTTAACCAACAGTTCAGAAGCTGTTCCTATTTGGTCATTTCATACATGGTCGGTTCATATACGCTCATTTGAACTATTCGAGTCCATGACTTTCCCCTTTCTCTTTTGAAGGAGAACCTAGGGAAACTGAAGAATCAGACTTAACCTCTCACTGTACAAAGCTACAGATCCAGGAGAGATGCTCACGTACCAATCAATGAGCATGGTATTACAGAGGACTGACAGCTACAAGGTTAGCTATGCACATTACCTCTTTGCTCCTTGGAGATTTTAGAAATGACAACTGGAATGTTATGTTCTGCACCTCCCTAGAAAGAGACAGTCATAAATCATATTTTAAGTCACCTTTTAGCCAATAAATAAATATAAAATCATTGAAAACTATAAACAGTACATGTAGTGAATACCAAGCAGAATTTAAGCAAATTTATAGAATTTCTTTTAAGTAAGCATCATTTCCATGAAATTTGGCTAAGTTTTTTTTTAAGTACTATAATGATATTTAATAATTAGTAACAATCGACTATAAAATTTTTATTTCTCAAAAAATTAATATCCATAGTTGCATTCTGTTCAAAATCCATTAAAAAGAATGCAAGGTATCTTGATATTTGTTACTTGGGATTCCAAGCATCAGCTATTCATACATCTCAATTCTCTGACTATTGTACTTTGCCAAACAGACATTCTTTCAATGATTCATTCTCAGCACTAAATAACTAGAGAGAACTTGGAATTGGTAAATGAAATTTACCAATCTCTTTAACAAAGTGAAAATTGAGTAAAATGATAAATATAAAATACAATTCATGCTTCAATTGTTCCCATTTCTCCTCCATAGAGACTTGTTCCTTTTTTATACACCAACTTTCCATGCTGCTGGACGATAAAGGAAAGCTTCTTGCCACCAGAATTAATGGGAAGATTCATAAAGAAATGAATTCTTTTTAAAGTAGTTCTACTTAATATTAGGTAAGGTCCCCAGGCCTTTCTTGTAATACTTAAATAAGAAGATAACGATGGTCAGGGTCTAGAAGAGCATCCCAGACTACAGTTTACTCTAAGCATCACAGAGCCATTCTTGTACTGTTATGAGTCACCAACATTTTAATGCACACAAAATGTTAGCCTTTACAGCTCGGCCTTTGCAAAGAAAGACTGGAAAGGTGGCTGGCTACCTTTATGCTTAATCCAAATCCTCCTACTGTCTGCCTTCTGATTGTCACCGTTCTTTCCTGAAAGAGAAGAGATTTAAGAGTGGTAAGTGTTTCTTTACACTAAATATACTTTTCCCTATTGGCTTTTCAATTTCTGTTTGAAATGTGGAGAAAATTATTTTCTAAAACCAAAATACTTCAAATATTGCAATTAATGGAACATTTTACAGGATTTTGTTTTTGTTTGGGGAGAGGTTTTTGAGACAGGGTTTCTCTGTAGCTTTGGAGCTTTACAGCCTGTCCTGGAACTAGCTCTTGTAGATCACTGGCCTCAAATTCACAGAGATCCACCTACCTCTGCCTCCCAAGGTGCTGTGATTAAAGGTGTGTACCACTACTGCCTGGCCACATTTTACAGTTTTTAAATCAAAAGCTAATCATCTATTTGCCAAAATAAATGTTCCTAAATTCACAGTCTCTAAAAAATGCTTTCAATATTATTTTGAGAACAATTTTAGATTTTTTTTGTACTCTCATTTTCATGTTGCACATTCTTGAGTAGCCTAACAGTATCTCACTGGCAAAGGGTAAGAATCCCCCAGCTGAGGCCTTGTCTGCACCAGCAAGTGACAGATTTGTGATTTAAGAGCTAAGATGCAGGGTCTTCATAGCCTAGCACGTCAGAGAGCAATGTGCTGTCTAAGAGATACACCACACAATGAGAAAGCAGAATTAAAATCCTTACATTGAATGCTGAAAAAAAAAAGAACTTACATTATAACAATGACAATGGAATTACTAATGTACATCACTAGTACCCCTTAGTGTAAACAAGAATTCAGCTATAAAACTACCAATTCAGGGACCTTGGTGTGAGCACATGGATCATACCTGAACATATTCTGAAATTTTCAATCGGAAAAATTAAATTTGGAGAATTTAAGGAAACGGTTTTTGCAGCACAGTCTTCTGGAAGAAAGTTGCAGGGTAGGAAGCTGTATCTATATCCTTAATCATTTATACCAGTCATCTCTGACCACCTTGCCCTCTCTCTTGCATGTAAGAGACATGTTGTGATATTGTACCTATATCTCCAAATATTTCCAACTCATTTACCTGACATCTCATTTCTCAAATGCAAACATGGTTCTGTTACTTCTACATCAATACTTTCTCTCTTTTCCTTAAGGACTATATGAATGAATATTTAAAAATAAAAACCAAAACATTTTATAAATAAGAAAACATTTTTTAAAATGTACTTTTTGTATTAAGAGTTAATCCTTAAAACAAGTCTCAATACATACAAAAAAATGAAATAATCTTCCTTTTCCTTTCAGACCAAGGATTAAAGTTTATTTCAAAACAAAATAATAATAATAATAATAATTAATAATAATAATAAAACCAGAAAGCCTGCAAACTCATGGAAACTGAACAATCTACTGAATTAAAATTGGGTCAAGACAGAAATAAAGAAATAAAGACTATCTGAAATACTATATAGATTAATATATATACCCAAACTTATTGGACCCTATGAAAGTGGTACTAAGAGGAAATTTAATAGCACTAATTGTCTTCAAAAATAAATTTAAGAGATCTCATACTAACAAATTAACAGGACAGTTGAAAGATCCATAACAAAAAAAAGTAAACACATAAAGATGAGCAGAAGGCAGTAAATAATCAAAATGGAGTCTGAAATCAATCAAGCAGAAAGAGAACAATGGATAGAAACAGAAAATTGGTTCTTCCAGAAAATCTACATAACAGATAAACCCGCATCCAAACTAAATAAAAGAAAGAGATTAACAAATTAACAAAATCAGAAACAAGAAGGGGAATATACCAACAAACACAAAGGAAATTCAAAAATTAATTAGGTCATAAATAAAAAACCAGTACTCCACAAAATTGGAAACTCTAAGAGAAATAAACATTTTTTGATAGATATCACTTACTAAATTTAAATTAAGGTGATAAAAAACAACTTAAATAGACATCTCATCTATAAGGAATTAGAGTTGTAGCTGTTATATTTATTATTGCCAAATATGCAAGAAGTAAATTGGTGAATAGGAGGAAACTGCTTGGCAGTGAAATGGTTTGCATGCTGAAGGCCAGGAGTGCTGAGGAGCTGATAACAGGTATGGAATGGCTTCTCAATGCAGGTCCTTTGTACAAAATGATTTCCCACTCTTTCAAGAGATAAAGAAGTCGAGGAGCAGGAAAAAAAAAAGGAAGTTCCCATACCTTCCTCTCAGCTGTGCTAGATACTTCAAACTTCTTTTCTTTTAAAATTCTTTTGAGATTATAATGACATTTTCCCTTCCCTTTCCTCCTTCCAAACCCTCCAAAACAAATTCATGGCTAATTTTCTTCATGAACTGTCAAACTGGGTTTTAAATCCCAGAGAACGTAGACAACAATGAGGATCCTAAGAGAGACATACATGGATCTAATCTACATGGGAAATAGTAAAAGACAAGATCTCCTGAGTAAACTGGGAGCATGGGGACCTTGGGGGAGGACTGAAGGGGGAAAGGAAGAGACAGGGACGGGAGCAGAGAAAAGAGTAGAGCTCAATAAAAAAATCAATACAAAATAAATAAATAAAAGGTAGTCTTAGAATGAAAAAAAAATGGGACCTGAAATTCATGCAGGCGAGTAAGACACATCAGGCTGAATGGGTGGCATACTTTGACATTCTAACAAGACAATCCTGTGGGGCTGGCAGGCAAAAGGATAGTCTAAACAGGAGAAACACAGTGACAAAGACACTGGTTTCGTGGCTTTGTGGTAGTGGCTACATAACTCCATGCATTTGTAGAAGCCGCAAAACTTTAGAGCACAGGTAAGCAACATTTGCTTACTTACCATAACATTTAGGAAGTTAAGGAAGGGGGTCCAAACTTGAATGGCAATGTGAGAAAATTATGTAATTACTTCAAATGTCCATGGTCCTGCTTCTGTGTCTCCCGGCATGGCACACTCTACTTCTAAGGAATCGGTTTAATTTTCCTAAAATAAACTCTCCCCATTGTATAAATCAGCACCCATTCTTCTGATTGTGGTCTCTCTAAACCTGCACACTGGGCCCTCTCAGTAGTCAAGTAGCGTAGGAGGCATTCCTTTTGCCTTTTTATTACGAATCAACGCATCAATGCTTTATTCCTTTTTTAAAAAAAATGGTCTGCTGCATGCATGTGATACAGTGCATCAGGAAACCTTGGCCTGGTGATAAGACATACAAATTAGGCGTGCATAAAATCAGAACCGAGACGCAGGTTTTAAAGGCGGTCTTTGCCGAGATGTGGAAATGCTAGGCAGAGGTTGCAGGAAAGACTGCAGTGAATTCAGGCTGCCCCAGAGAAAGGAAGTCCTCATACAGAGTTACAGTTCTTATAATGTTCCATTAGTTATGAGGCCAGCATATTTAAGGAACATTTTTCTAATGGTATAGGGAAGTTTACTCATGTAAGACTTAGATGAGTGGTCTTTTCTGTTTAGAGACATGCTGTCACTCTGAGCCTGGCTGGGGAAAGGAAACCCTTGTAGTTGGAACAGAAGGATGAATGTCAGACATAGTCCATGTAGCGTATTTTCAGAAGGAATGAGGCATCCGCTTACTGAAGAAGGGTTAGTACTGAGAATCTACTTGTATTTTCCATATGAAATTCCCAATCTACTGCAGTTGTACCATTGGTCATGTATGCATTCTTCCACGGAAGGCCTACACGTGACTTGTTTCTCCTCTTTGATTCGCATGAATGTCAGCCTATGGGTGTGAGTATGAAATTTTGCTTAGACATGTGTCTTATTTCTCTTTGCTACAACCAAAGTGTATGTTTGAGGAACCAAACTGCTTCCAAAGGCAGTAAGACGCTAGCCTTCCCTTCCCAGTATTCAAACAGCTTCAAACAGCCTCCTTGTCCCTGTTGTTGCCTATTGTTCTAATTGAAGCTGTTTCAGTGGGGTAAAGCAGCATCTCCCTTGTCTTCAGATGATGCTTCTAAGATTACATCTTCACACTTACTAACTGGTTCCCTCTATAACTTCTATTGAAAAATAACCATTGAAATTCTTTGACCAATTTCCGGTTACAAAATGTATTACCCAGGGAATTGGAAAGATGGCTCAGCAGTTAAGAGCACTGACTGATCCTCTAGAGGTCCTGAGTTCAATTCCCAGCAACTACATAGTGGCTCACAACCACCTATAATAAGATCTGGTGCCCTCTTCTAGCCTACAGGCAGGATACTGTATAAATAAACAAATAATTTAAAAAAATTGTATTACCCAGTTATAATAGTTCCTTAAGTATTCTAGACAATAGTCACATGGTGGAGAAACAGTGCCTATTCACCCTGTGTCCCATCTTTTCATTTAATTTGCAGTGTTCTCTGAAGAAAAATATTATTCATTTTTTTAAATTTATTTCTTTATTAATTAATTAAAGATTTCTGTCTCTTTCCCACAGCCGCCTCCCCTTTCCCTCCCCCTCCCCCAATCAAGTTCCCCTCCCTCATCAGCCCAAAGAGCAATCAGGGTTCCCTGCCCTGTGGGAAGTCCAAGGACCACCCACCTCCATCCAGGTCTAGTAAGGTCTAGTAAGGTGAGCATCCAAACTGCCTAGGCTCCCACAAAACCAATAGGTGCAGTAGAATCAAAAACCCATTGCCATTGTTCTTGAGGTCTCAGTAGTCCTCCTTGTCCGCTATGTTCAGCGAGACCGGTTTTAACCCAGGCTTTTTCAGACCCAGGCCAGCTGGCCTTGGTGAGTTCCCGATTTGATGATGGGCAATTTAACAATTTTTTTTTTTGCTATGGCTAAGATTTGTCTACAGTTGCATTAGTCTTTTTCTTACACTTAAATTTTATTCAATTTGAATAACATTTTTATGTAATGTGAAGTAGGTATCCAAGCTTATTAACTTATATGTGTCTATCAAGTTGTTCCAACATCATTTGAGGAGGAAATGGTTATTTCCCTGTTAGTCATGGTGTTCTCAGTGGAAAGCAACTGATCGCCAGTGGGATTTTCTTTCCCGACTCCCCTTCCTTCACATGTATAC